AAATCTAATCCTACCTTAACCCTACACCTAACCGTACCTTAACCTATCCCTGTCCTCATTCAACTAATCTTCCCTCTTTTTTGCCACTTTTCAGAAATCCAAAGCACTTCGGCAATTTGGTTCGGTTCAGCACTTCCGAAATTCAGGACTTCGGCAATACGGTTCGGTTTGGCACTTCCGAAATTCAGAACTTAGGCAATTCGGACATTCGGAAGCATCAGAATGTCCAAATTGCCCGAAATTCGTCCGAATTCACATTCGGACCGAAACGAATTGCACATGTTTAGTTATAATAGACTATAACGTGACCGTACTAAAAATTCATAAGGCCTAAAAATGTCTTCATAGATCAAAAAGCTATTGCAGTACATTTGAACTATTTTTTTAATCTTTATGATGAGTGAATATAACAGCAACTTATAATACGTGTAGTACATGTGAATATGTGAAGAACCTGTGGCAATAGATGTGCAAATGATTGCTACTAAAAACTTGCAGAATAATTGGAATAGGTTAACTCAAGACAAGTTGCTGCAGCAACTAAAGAAAGTTAATATAAACAAAGCTCCAGGGCCTGACGGTATCCATCCACGTGTACTTAAGGACCTAAGTGTAGAAATAAGGGAACCTCTGTTTTTAATCTTTCAAGATTCTTTTCTTTCAGGAAGTGTTCCAGAGGATTGGAGGAAGGCTGATGTGGTTCCTATATTCAAAAAAGGTTCAAAACCCTTGCCTGTAAATTATATACCTGTGAGCTTAACTTTTGTGGCTGGGAAAATATTTGAAAGGCTATTAAGGGATAATAATCAAGAATTCCTTGAGAAGAACATGGTTATCAGCAAAAATCAGCATGGTTTTATGAAGCACAGGTCATGTCAAACTAACATGATTGCGTTTTACGAAGAAATAAGTAGAAGTATAGATCAGGGTGTTGCAGTGGATGTGATCTATTTGGATTTTTCCAAGGCATTTGATACAGTTCCACACAATAAATTAGTGTTCAAACTCAAGGAAATCGGTCTTGATGAAAATGCTTGTTCTTGGGTAGAACATTGCCTTAAAAATAGAGTACAAAGAGTTGTCGTTAATGGTAAATGTTCAAATTGGACAGAGGTGGCAAGTGGTGTCCTTCAGGGGTCTGTTCTGGGTCCCCTTCTATTTAACATGTTTATAAATGACCTTGAAGAAAGCATTGAAAGTCATGTTTCAGTGTTTGCAGATGACACAAAACTCTGTAAAATAGTACAATGTGAGCAAGATATTACTTTGCTGCTGAGGGATTTAGATAGACTGGGGGACTGGGCACTCAAATGGCAGATGAAATTTAATGTTGAAAAATGCAAAGTTAAGTACTTCGGCGTAAAGAATACACAAGCATCGTATACCCTTAAAGGAAGCGAATTTGGGGTAACAACACACGAAAAGTATTGGTAATTGTTATAGACAACAAACTATGCAACAATGTACAATGTCAATCAGCAGTAGCCAAGGCCAGCAAAGTATTGTCATACATGAAAAAGGGCATTCATTCTCGAGACGAGAATATAATTTTGCCTCTTTATAAATCACTGGTAAGACCACATATTGAATATGCTGTGCAATTTTGGGCACTTGTTCTAAAGAAGGATATTATGGCACTAGAAAAAGTGCGACGCGGTCTACAAAATTAATAAAAGGCATGGAACATATGAGCTATGAAGAAAGGTTAACAAATTTAAATGTATGTAGTTTAGAAAAACGTCGCCTGAGAGGGGATATGATAACATTATACAAATATATTCGGTGCCAATACAAACCATTGTGTGGAAATCTATTCACAAACCGAACTTTACATAGGACACGAGGTCATGGGTTTAGGCTGAAAGAAAGAAGATTTTGTCTAAGGCAAAGGAAAGGGTTTTTTTTACTGTAAAAACAATAAGGATGTGGAATTCTCTGCCTGAAGTCCATACAGATGTTCAAACAGCTACTAGATGTATACCTGCAAAAACAAAATATTAAAGGATATAATATTTCAATGTAAGAATCCAAGAATAAATCTGACTGCCATTCTGGGGTCAAGAAGGATTTTTTTTCCTAGCTTGTGGCAAAATTGGAAGTGCTTCAAACTGTTTTTTTTTTTTTTTTGCCTTCTTTTGGATCAACAGCAAAAACACAAATGTGAGGAAGGCTGAACTTGATGGATGCAAGTCTCTTTTCAGCTATGCAACTATGTAAAAAAAAAAAAAAAAGACAAAAAGTCAAACAAAATCATATGCACAATTGATACCGAATTATTGAAGGGACACTGTAGTCACCAGAACTACAGTTTGTGAAGAAAATAGCATGCCATTTGGGACTTTTTATGTTTTATTGGTTCGGTAGCTGTAACTACTGAACACCGACTACCCCTCTGGCTCATTATCTTCAAAGGAAACCGTCATTTAAGCGCATGAAAGAAGGCAGTGGGACTTCGAGTGTCTGGAACTAAAATCGGACACTCAACTTCCCGAACACCGGTCAAAGTATACGAACACCTATTTGGTAGTTTGAGTCCCATGAATCAGGGGAACAATCACTACTATGATTTACTAAATAAAGCTATTAACCAAGGGATAGGTCAGGACATCTTCTGCTAGCTAAAACCATAAGCTAGGGAAGACCTATGACCATATCCCGCTGTCAAAAAGAGGTCACCTAGTTTTCCTGGTTGAACAGGGGATAACCCTAATTACTAGAAATAGAAAAAGAAAGAAAAACAATATCCAAGACATTCACTCCAAATGGAAGTGAATGTCTAGGAATAAGTACAACTTAAATTGAATTAGTAGCCTAAAAGCCAAAAAATATAAAACCTGGCTGATTCCCTTATAGCTAGCATGCACATATTGTTCCTATTTAGGACTCTTTGATTGACAATAGTAGCTCTATGCCTTATGGTTAAATAAAGGTTTCATATTTTTTTGGCATTTAGGCTACTAATTCAATTTAAGTTGTACTTATTCCTAGACATTCACTTCAATTTGGAGTGAATGTCTTGGATATTGTTTTCTTTCTTTTTCAATCGCTACAATGAGCCAGGGGGTTCCATTCGTGCATTATTTATTTTTTTGTGACTTTTCGAAATAGCCTAAACTCATGGAACTGTTGCTGGGCAGGAGCCTCGTGTGCGGTTGGTCCAAATGAGACATCCATAAAATTCCAAAACCCCTGAACTGATCTGGGTGATTTTTGGATGTGTTGGTCACCCAGATCAGGGCTATCAAGGGATATAACATTTATAGGGAGTTTATGTGTTTTGGGGTACTTTTCAGTTTTTATGAAAAATTTGTTTTTCTGCCTGGAGATAATTGAGTTATTACTTTATCTGACCCAATTATCTCACAGGCAGAGGGAAGGGAATTATCTGTTTGTATTGGGAGTGTCACACTTTGTCACTGTGTTATCATTGGTTGAAAACTTTGTGTCCCTGTCCCCCACAAGGTCCATGTGGGAGTGCCTCTTGCATATGAACTTGCATAAAAGCCAGTGTGGCACCCATTAAAAGGATTCCTGTTCTACCCTTCACGAAGTCTAGGCTCATGTTTGGGTAACTGTCTACTTGCTGGGAGAAACTACTTGGATGCTGCATTCGTCTGGAACCGTTCAAATCTACACGAACTGCAGCTATAATCACTCAGGCTCAGCAGTTCGGGAGGAAATAGGCGAACAGGGTATCTACTATACCAGCGTTCGAAACACAGCTTATTGTATTTGTTCTGGTGAGTAGAATCATTCCCTTCAGGCTTTTTGCAGTAAACACTGTCTTTTCAGAGAAAATGCAGTGATTACATTACAGCCTAGGGATAACTCCACTGGCCACTCATCAGATGGCTACTAGAGGTGCTTCCTGGGGCAGTGGTGCACAGTGTGCAGTACTGCCATTCGGTGTGTCTTCCCTCTGCATGCAAACACTGAACTTTCCTCATAGAGATGCATTGATTTAATGTATCTCTATGAAGAGATACTAATTGGCCAGGGCTGTGTTTGACTTGTGCTGGCTCTGCCCCTGATCTGCCTCCTTGACAGTCTAAGCCAATCCTATGGGGAAGCATTGTGATTGGCTCAGACCACCACTTCGGATGTCAGCAGATCAGGGGCAGAGGCAGCAGCTGCAGATGGCTGTGTTTGACTTGTGCTGGCTCTGCCCCTGATCTGCCTCCTTGACAGTCTAAGCCAATCCTATGGGGAAGCATTGTGATTGGCTCAGACCACCACTTCGGATGTCAGCAGATCAGGGGCAGAGGCAGCAGCTGCAGATTTGAAGACAAATAAGATTTTACTATACTTAGTACTTAGGGAGGCATGGGGGAGGGGGGACTAGATGGTGGTTTTAATACTTTAGGGTCAGGAATACATATTACATTAGTGTGTGTCACAGTTACTCTGAACATGCCTAAAGGAGGACAGCCCAGTTGTGAGAAAAAAACCTCAGAATACACAGAGCGCAATAAATGGAACTATAAATTAAGTATACTAATATTGATGTAATATGATATTATATACAATAAAGTACAAATAACAATTCTCCTGAAGTGGGAGGCCCTAACCAAAGGGGGTGAGGGGGTGAAGCACCAGGTTATATTACCCTTGCACTACCATATATAAGTTACATAGATAATATTCAATTTCACCACATTCATATTTTTCATAAGCTTTCTTTAATAAAATCTCCAGCAGCACAGATCAAGCAAGTGAAATGAAACCAATCAAAACAAAGTATCAAGGTCTATATAAGGATCTGACACTCCAGGCTCCTCCTCTTTCTTTGCATCTCTTGCTCTGCACCGGTCAGAGTATTATGCTCTCTACACAATTCTGTATCGGTATTGACTATTTTTACTTTAGTTACTGTTAAGAACACATTTCTAGTTTTGCATGCTCTGTACATCTTGCTTTAACACCAGCTTTGAGCCCTTCAACTGTTTTCCCCTTTGTGTGTTCCTTTTTTTTCTACTATTTCTGGCTTCGAGCCTACTTCCTCAACCTTCTACTTATTCCTTTGTATCGTTGCTATGCAGTGGTTGGCAATGCCGCGCTTCTATTACTGGCTTCATTCCTACTCTCTTCTGGGCTTAGCTGGGGGTATCAGGATATGAAGCACCTTTTTTTCACAGCTCACCACCACTCTCACGGAACCCACAGTAGTAGGTGTTCATGCCAGGTCTTTGCAAGTGGCAGCCATTTTGGGTTTTCATTGCAGACCGGCAGGACCTTGGGCAATGTGATCGTGACCACATGGCTGGAATAGCCGGCTTGTGCAGTACCTGTAGGGGGACTACCTGGGATGTTAGGCAGTCCCCCAGTGCCTGAAAAGAAAGTTTATTAAAAAGTTTAAGACACTTTATTAATAACAAAATTTTTTTAAAGTACTTAGGTCATATATATGTATATTTATGGTCAGGGACAATAAATCGAGTTATAGTTGTTATAGTGATGGTGTAAGTCGATTGTTGTGTGATGAAACAAATGTTTGAGAATGCCTGTTAAAAGAGGGCCCACCAAAATTGAATGGCTTGATAAAAGTGTATGGGCTGAACCAGGAAGCATTGACCATCCTAACGGTGCACCGGCCAAGAGGCGCAATGATATCTGTGTGACCGGCTGGAGGTGGGAGCACATAAAACCACTCTCCCGCTGGTCACTCCCACTTACCCCTTCCGATGCACCAGCGGAATGAGGCGAAGTGAAAGCCTTTGCCTCAGAGGGGATGTGAGCTGCAAGGAGCGGCAGCCGCTCGCGGCCAATCACTTTGTGTTAAGGGCTGCTGGGATAGATGACATCATATCCCTGCGGCCAAGGGTTGTGAAGAGAGTTGGCTGGTCAGTTTCACTGGACATCAACACCTGGCCACTGGTGGGAACTTGTTTAAGTTATATATATCAATTATAAAAAAAACAATAAGTGTATATAAGCTAGTGAGTTTGTGTAAGAGCCCAGTGTGTGTGTATGTGCTTGTTTTTTTTGGGCGAGTGTGTTTGTTTCAGTGTGTGAATGTCAGTGAATGTTTGTCTGTCAGTGAGTGTGTGTTTGTCTGTCAGTGAGTGTGTATGCCAGTTAATGTGTGTGTGGTTGTCTGTCAGTGAATGTGTGTGTTTCTGTCAGTAAGTGTGTGTGTATGTCAATGAATGTGTTTGTGTAAAAGTCAGTGAGTGCGTGTGTGTTAATAAATATCCCCCCTCCCTTATTACCTTATGTAGGGAGAGGGGCCCGTGTTGCTGCCTTCCCTGGTGGTCCAGTGGAGGTGGGTGCAGATTACTTAATATCCCCCCTCCCTTGTTACCTTATGCCAGGGAGCGGGATCCTTTCTGCCTTCCCTGGTGGTCCTAGTGGTGAGAGTGAACTCTAGCCTGTGGGGCTAGAGTTCACTCTTGCGAGATCTGAGCATTGCCGCGGTAACCGGCATTTCGGGACTTCACTTGCAGCCGCTTAGTAGATAACTCCCTAATTCCCATGCTATTAGGGAGTTATCTACCAAAAGGCTGATGGACCTAAATTGGTCTTTCAGCCACATTTACTAATACTAAGTAAAAATTACATGTCTATTAAACAGTGAGCAGCCTGAGAGGTTGGTGGGGGCCCTAAATATCAATAAGGGGGAGGACACCTATTGTCCTCCCACCTGACCCCCACCCCTGAGCGGTGGGTGGGGGCCCTACATTAGAATAAGGGGGGACCTATTGCCCTCTTTTGGCCCCCACCCATGAGCGACTGGGGGGCCCTAAATATCAATAAGGGGGACCTATTGTCCTTCCCCCTGGCCCCCACCCCTGAGCGGCAGGTGGGGCCCCTAAGTTAGAATAAGGTGGGGACTTATTGTCCTCCACCCTGACCCCCACCCCTGAGCGGTGGGTGGGGGCCCTAAATTAGAATAGGGGGGATATAATACAGCAAAATGAAAGCTTTGTTCGCCAAAAACGCCCCAATAGTTGGACAACGGGGCGTGAGAGGCAACACAGAGCCTTTTGGTCAGCTGGTGTTGTCAGCTCCACCAAGGGCTTGTACCCTAATAATTTACAAAATAATAGATGTGATCTCCGTCTAGGGAGATCTTGAAATGCTGACAAAAATAATAAATGGACAAATAAGAGACACTCATGCACAAAATAAAAATAGCAATATTTTTATTTTGTGCATGAGTGTCTCTTATTTGTCCATTTATTATTTTTGTCAGCATTTCAAGACGGAGATCACATCTATTATTTTGTAGAATAGGGGGGAACCTATTGTCCTCCCCTCTGGCCCCCACTCCTGAGCGGCGGATGGGGGCCCTAAATCTCAATAAGGGGGGGACCTACTGTCCTTCCCCCTGGCCCCCACCGCTGAGTGGAGGGTGGGGGCCCTAAATTAGAATAAGGGGGGGACCTATTGTCCTTCCTCCTGGCCCCCACCCCTGAGCGGCGGATGGCGCCCTAAGATGGGACCTATTGGAATTTTCCCACGCTGTGTAATTTGACTCATAACTCTCTGATTGGTTACTTTCAATCCACCAATCAGAGTGTTGTTATGAGTCAAATTACACAGCGTGGGAAAATTCCAAAGAACAGGGGTCGCAGATGCGACCGGGCCCGGCCCACCAGGGGGCCCGGCAGCCCTGTGACCCGGTATGTACCCACTGTGGCCCCCCCGAGGCTGGCCCTGGTATCACCGGGTGGGCAGGCAGGCAGGCTGACGGGCGCGCGAGGGAGCACTCTCCCCTGAGTGCTCCCTCTTCAGCTCCCTCACGCACCGCACTGATATCGGAGCCGGGAGATGACATCATCTTCCGGCTCCGGTATCAGTACGGGACGTGCGAGGGAGCTGAACAGGAAGCACTCAGGGGAGAGTGCTCCCTCGTGCGCCCGCCAGCCTGCCTGCCCTCCCGCCCTGTGACCCCACTGGACCCCAGGGAATCCCCTCAGCTCTCCAAAAGGTAAGGAGGCTGAGGGGATTAAATTTAAAAAAAAAATGTGTGTGTATTAGAGTGTGTGTGTGTTAGTGTGTATGTGTGTTAGTGTTAGAGTGTGTGAGTATATTAGAGTGTGTGTGTGTGTTAGTGTGTTACTGTCAGGGCCGGCCTTAGGGGTGTGCGAGCTGTGCGGCCGCACAGGGCGCCATGGCAACAGGGGCGCCGGGCGGCCAGCACAGCTCGCACTCAGTCACTCACATGCCGGCCCGAGTCATGTGCAGAGCAAGTCAAGTGCATTATGCTGCGCACTTGACTTGCAAATTATGAAGAGAGCAGCGGCCGGGAGAGAGAGGAGGTCAGGAGCACGGAGGAAGAGCATGCTCCGCCTCCACAGTCATCCGCGGAAGGATCCGCACAGTGAGTGTGAGGGAGGAGGTCAGTGCTGGTATCAAGGTCGGCAGACTGGGACACTGTCAGGAGGTTCCAGGGAGCAGCAAGCTTTAATGTGAGTCTGTTTATTCTTGTTGTAACTATTGCTTTTTTTTTTTTTTTAATTAAATAGATTGTTGTTTTTGTGTGTGTGTGTGGGGGGTTTGCAGAAGGGGGAGCAGAGGTTTTCTCGCTGGGATTTTGGGGAAGGGGTTTTGTAGAAGGGGGTTGGTTTAGGGAGGAGCAGAGGTTTTATAGAAGGGGTTAGAGGTTTTGTAAAAAAGGGGGTAGGGGTTTTGGTGTAGAGGAGAGGTTTTGTAGAAGAGGGGCCAGGCATTTCTGGTGAAGTGGCAGGGGAAAGGATTTTGTGGAGGGGGCATGGGTTTTGTTGAAGGGGGACCAGGGGGTTTGTAAAGGGGGCAGGAGTTTAGTATAAGGGGAGCAGGGGTTTTGTATAAGGGGAGCAGGGGTTTAGTAGAAGGGGAGCAGGGGTTTAGTAGAAGGGGGCAGGGGTTTAGTATAAGGGGGCAGGAGTTTAGTATAAGGGGGCAGGGGTTTAGTATAAGGGGAGCAGGGGTTTAGTATAAGGGGAGGCAGGACTTTAATATAAGGGGGGCAGGGGTTTAGTATAACAGGGCAGGACTTTAGTATAAGGGGGGCAGGAGTTTAGTATAAGGGGAGCAGGGGCTTAGTATAAGGGGGCAGGGGTTTAGTATAAGGGGAGCAGGGGTTTAGTATAAGGGGGGCAGGGGTTTAGTATAAGGGAGCAGGGGTTTAGTTGAAGGGGAGCAGGGGCTTAGTATAAGGGGAGCATGGGTTTTGTAGAAGGGGAGCAGAGGTTTATGTAGAATGAGTGCAGGACTTTTGTAGAGGGTGGCAGTGGTTTTGGTGGAGGGGGAAGGTTTTTAGTGATATTATGTGAACATTGCTGTATAGTTGATATATATAATGATAGCATGTGTTTTGTTAAAGGGGGAGAAAAAAAATTATAGAAGGGTGGGCAGGGGTTTTATTAAAGGGGGAGCAGGGGTTTTGTAGAGGGGGCAGGGTTTTGTAAAAAGGGGGGCAGGGTTTTTGTAGAAAGGGGGGCTGGGGTTTGTGGAAGGGTTTTGTAGAAGGCGGAACAGGGCTATTGTAGAAGGGGCAGAGGTTTTGCTGAAGGGGGGGGGCGCCATATGTTGGGCTCGCACAGGGCGTCTGATCACCTAAGGCCGGCCCTGGTTACTGTGTGTGTCTTTTAGTGAGTCTGTTTGGTGTCTGTTAGTGAGTGTGTGTTTTGTAAGTGAGTGTGTATGTGTCTATCTGTCAGTGAGTGTGTATGTATGTCTCTCACTGAGTGTGTGTCTGTCAGTAAATGTGTGTGTCTGTTAGCTAGTGTGTATGCGTCTGTTTGTGAGAGTGTGTGTGTGTCTTCAGCACTTACCTTTCTCCAGCGCCGAACTCCCTTGGCGCTGGGGATCTCTCCGCCCCGATCCGCCTCTCAGTTCCGAATGTGCATGCGCGGCAAGAGCCTCGCGCGCATTCAAACATTCAAGCATTCAAACCGCCCATAGGACGTTCAGCATCTTCTCACTGTGATTTTCACAGTGAGAATCACGGAAGCTCCTCTAGCGGCTGTCAATGAGACGGCCACTAGAGGCTGGATTAACCCTCAGTGAAACATAGCAGTTTCTCTGAAACTGTTATGTTTTCAGCTGCAGGGTTAAAACTAGAGGGACCTGGCACCCAGACCACTTCATTGAGCTAATGTGACCTGGGTGTCTGTAGTGGTCCTTTAAGTGTATGTGTATCTGCATGCACTGGCGTACATAATAACGGTCGTAGGGGTCACAGCCCTGCGACCCCTGCGACCAGGTGTCCGCCGCCATGTGTTGCGGCCCCGGCCCGCGCAGAGTAAGCACGGGGGGGGCATGGATCAATTTTCGCACAGGGGCCCCATGGGTTGTGTGTACGCCACTGGCTGTGACAGGTAAATGTAGAGACTTACCTGTCAGTCCCTTCATTTACCTGTCAGAGCACTCTGATTGGATGGCTTAAACCAACCAACTAGAGTGCTCTGAGTCTAATTGCAGGGCGGGGGAAGGCTTATAAAGTCTGCGCAGAGCCCTCCATGGGTGAAGATTAGTGATGTCCCGAAGGGTTCGCCGAATGGTTCGAGAACAGTTCGCCATGAACGGTTCGCCGCGGACTCATCATTGAGTAAACTTTGACCCTGTACCTCACAGTCAGCAGACACATTCCAGCCAATCAGCAGCAGACCCTCCCTCCCAGACCCTCCCACCTCCTGGACAGCATCCATTTTACATTCATTGTGAAGCTGCATTCTTAGTGAGCTGTCCAGGAGGTGGGAGGGTCTCGGAGGGAGGGTCTGCTGCTGATCGGCTGGAATGTGTCTGCTGACTGTGAGGTACAGGGTCAAAGTTTACTCAATGATGAGTCCGCGGCAAACCGACATCACTAGTGAAGATGGATTATTATTTTTTTGCGCTTTTTTTTTTTTTTTTTTTATAATTGTATCGGTTATTATGGTTTTTTATTTGGCCATTTTTGGGGCTGAAAAAATAAGATTTTAGAAGAAAGAAGACATCAAATGGTAAGTTTTATTTTTTTTGCAGGTATCTAGTTTATGGTCCCCCCTCATTATTTTTAGGTTGATGGGGGTAGGTAGGGTTTTTTTTGTGGGGGGAGGGGGGTGACTAGGGGTTTGGGGACCTAGTCATCTGGGGGGGGGTTTAAATTTTTATTTAGGGCCCCCACCTGCCGCTCAGGGGTGGCGGCAGGGGTGGAGGACAATAGGTCCCCGCCCCGTTATTGGTATTTAGAGCCCCCACCCACCGCTCCTCTACCTCCACTCCCCAGGTGGTCCTTCCCTCCCTTATTGATATTTAGGACCCCCACCCACTGCTCAGGGGTGGGGACCAGGGGGGAGGACAATAGGTCCCCGCCCCGTTATTGGTATTTAGAGCCCCCACCCACCGCTCCTCTACCTCCACTCCCCAGGTGGTCTCTCCTTCCCCCCCTCCCCTGGTGGTCTCTCTTCTCTCTCCCCCCACCCCAGGTGGTCTCTCCTTTCCTCTCTCTCCCCCCCTCTTCAGGTGGTCTCCCCTCTCTCCCAGGTGGTCTCTCCCCTCTCTCTCCCCCACCTCCCCCAGGTGGTCTCTCCTTCCCTCTCTCGCCCCAGCCCACTCCCTCCTCCCCCAGGTGGTCTCTCCTTCCCCCTCTCTCCCCCACTGCGTGAGCACTTCCTGTCAGTCTTGCCAGGTGATGTAAACGGATGTTCCTTTACCGCGGACCGGAGCTCGGCCACGCAACACTGAGGGACTGGCAGGAGAGAGCGCTGTGCACTTCCTTCCTGCTGATCCCTCATATATTGTGCCCCCGGGCCAGTGCAACCTCATGGACGCGCCATCCCGGGCAGTGCTGCAGCCACCGGAGGCTCTCTATAGATTGCCTAAGTCGCCTATAGGAAGCGCCGGCCCTGAGTTGGCCTTGTGGGACTGAATTACAATTATACTGGAATATGGTCCGCACTAATACACTGTACAGTCAGTTGATCTATCTATAGGAATGTAGAGGAGTAGAAAAGTAATAATTTGATAGAAAGTATGTTGGAACATACATATCTTGCCCAACTAGTGTGTGGTTGTGCTTGAGAAAAGACCCTTCCCACAATTACAGACTCGGCCTTCCTAAATATATATATACAGTTGTGCTCAAAGGTTTGCATATCCTGGCAGAAATTGTGGAATTTTGGCATTTATTTTGAAAATATGAATGATCATGCAAAGAAACATCTTTTATTGAAGGATAGTGACCATATGAAGCCATTTATTATCACATAAGTTGTTTACCTCCTTTGAAAATTATAATGATAACAGAAATCGCCCAAATTGCCCTGATCAAAAGTTTACATACACTTGAACGTTTGGCCTTGTTACAGACACACAAGGTGACACACACAGGTTAAATGGCAATTAAAGATTAAATTCCCACACCTGTGGCTTTTTAAATTGCAATTACGGTCTGTGTATAAATAGTCAATGAGTTTGTCAGCTCTCACGTGGATGCAATGAGCAGGCTAGATACGGAGCCATGGGGAGCAGAAACGAACTGTCAAAACTTTATAAAGATGATACAGGATTAGTGATGCACCGAACGGTTCGCTGGCGAATAGTTCCTGGCGAACATAGCATGTTTGCGTTCGCCACGGCGGGCGAACATATGCGCGGTTCGATCCGCCCCCTATTCGTCATCATTGAGTAACCTTTGACCCTGTACCTCACAGTCAGCAGACACATTCCAGCCAATTAGCAGCACACCCTCCCTAACAGACCCTCCCACCTACTGGAAGGCATCCATGTTAGATTAATTCTCAAGCTGCATGCTTAGTGAGAGGAGGGAAAGTGTAGCTGCTGTTGATTAGATAGGGAAATGCATAGCTAGGTTAGGGTATACAGTGTCCACTACAGTCCTGAAGGACTCATCTGATCTCTGCTGTAAGGACAGCACCCCAAAAAGCCCTTTTTAGGGCTAGAACATCAGTCTGCTTTTTTTTTTGAATAGCAGTTAGTTGTCTCAAAGCGGGTGTGTCAAGCTCACAGTGGATACTGTGCCCAGTGCCACCACTCACTCACTGGTGTCACAATAGCATGCATTTAAAAACCCAAAAACTTTTTTCACTGTTATAGATTGAATAGCAGTTAGTTGTGTCAAAGCGGGTGTGTCAGGCTCACAGTGGATACTGTGCCCAGTGCCAACACTCACTCACTGGTGTCACAATAGCTTGCATTTAAAAAAAATAATTTTTTTTTCACTATAATAGATTGAATAGCAGTTAGTTGTCTGCCAGCTTCTGTGTCAGGCTCACAGTGGATACTGTGCCCAGTGCCACCACTCACTCACTGGTGTCACAATAGCTTGCATTTAAAAAAAATAAGAAAAATTTCACTATAATAGATTGAATAGCAGTTAGTTGTCTGCCAGCTTCTGTGTCAGGCTCACAGTGGATACTGTGCCCAGTGCCACCACTCACTCACTGGTGTCGTAATAGCTTGCATTTAAAAACAAAAAACTTTTTTCACTGTTATAGATTGAATAGCAGTTAGTTGTCTGCCAGTGTCTGTGTCAGGCTCACAGTGGATACTGTGCCCAGTGCCACCACTCACTCACTGGTGTCACAATAGCGTGCATTTAAAAACCAAAAAACTTTTTTCACTGTTATAGATTGAATAGCAGTTAGTTGTCTCAAAGCGGGTGTGTCAGGCTCACAGTGGATACTGTGCCCAGTGCTACCACTCACTCACTGGTCTCACAATAGCGTGCATTTAAAACCAAAACACTTTTTTCACTGTTATATATTGCCCAGTGCACTGGTGTCCCCTTGAAACAACTTTTCCATCACTATTGTGGCCAGAAAGAGTCCCTGTGTGTTTTAAAATTCGCCTGCCCATTGAAGTCTATGGCGGTTCGCCCGGTTCGCGAACATTTGCGGAAGTCCGCGTTCACCATCCGCGAACCGAAAATTTAGTGTTCGCGACATCACTATACAGGATATAAAAAGATATCCAAAGCCTTGAAAATGCCAATCGACAATGTTAAATCACTTATTAAGAAGTGGAAAATTCAGGGATCTCTTGATACCAAGCCAAGGTCTGGTAGACCAAGAACGATTTCAGCCACTACTACCAAAAGAATTGTTCGGGATACAAAGAAAAACCCACAGGTAACCTCAGGAGAAAAACCTTGACACGTCTCATAGCTTCTGAAACACTGTTTTTAGAGTGATGAGACGAGACCAAAATAGAGCTTTATGGTCACAACCATAAGCGCTTTGTTTGGAGAGGGGTCTGCAAGGCTTATTGTGAAAAGAATACCATCCCCACTGTGAAGCATGGTGATGGCTCACCAATGTTTTAAGGGTGTGTGAGTTCTAAAGGCATGGGGAATCTTGTAAAAATTGATAGGAAGATGAATGCAGCATGTTATCAGAAAATACTAGCAGACAATTTGCATTCTTCTGCACAAAGGCTGCACATGGGACACTCTTGGACTTTCCAGCATGACAATGACCTTAAGCACAAAGCCAAGTTGACCCTGTAGTATTTACAGCAGAGAAAGGTGAAAGTTCTGGAGTGGCCATCACAGTCTCCTGACCTTAATATCATCGAGACACTCATACAAGACGACCAAAGACTTTGCATGACCTGGAGGCATTTTGTCAAGACGAATGGGCAGCTATACCACCTGCAAGAATTAAGGGCCTCATAGACAACTATTACAATCACTGATGCTAAAGGGGGCAATACATTATTATCATTGATGCTAAAGGGGGCAATACAGAGTATTAAGAATTAAGGGTATGCAGACTTTTGAACAGGGGTCACTAAAAAGGACTGGACATTCACATTTGCAATACCTTGGTTGTCTTCTTTTGAAAATGGTATGCCATCATGGGGGTAATTCTCATTCCTGGGCTACCATACAGTCTCTAAAGCAACATAACCAATTTGGCGAATTTAAATGTGAAAAAAATGAAATGGGAGCATGCTATATTTGACCCTGTGACTTTTTAAAACCCCAAAAAACTTGTACATGCAGAATACTGTTGTACTTGTGAGACATCGCTAAATACAAATATTTGTATTTAAGCAGTAAAAGCTAACACTATTATGACATTCACAGTTAAAATACCATGCAGAACTAAACAAATGGCAAAATTTCTTAATTTCTCACACTTTTTAAAAATTCCATTCATATTAAATTATGTTGCATATATAAATATTTGATGTGAAATGAAAGTCCTGTTTCTCCTGAATAAAATGATATATAATAAGTGTGGGTGCACTTAATATGAAAGAGGTGAATTACGGTTGAACAGACATATAGCCAAATTCTAGGTTTTGTTTTGATTTTGTTTTGATCAGAACGTGTAGATTGCCTCCATTCTTGAGCGGTTAAATACACTGATAGGCCTCACACAATATACACATATATTTTATAAATTGCAAACCTTAAAAGTGCACGTGTATCATATACATCCAGGGCCAGATTAACAGCCCAGTGGGCCTGGTGCTGACAATTATGACGGGCCTAATTACAGAATCATGTCGGCCAAAAACACTAAAACACTCCCAAGCGTCCTGTATCTGATGGAGATGGTGCTGGAGGGAAAGAAAACAGCAGCTATAAGAAAACACATACCCTATGCTAATCTCCCTCTAATTTATGTTTTCATCTTTCAAGTAAATCCATAACCCCTAACAGCAGTGTCCAGTCAAGCAGGAAGTCAATGAGCATGGTAAAAGGGTGTGCCACTGACACAAATCACGTAACCTGCCAAAAGGGCGAACATGCCCCAAAAGAGGACATGTCTGCCCAAAGAATTAGAAGGCCAGCCTGGCATGAATGCATGTCAGGCTGCCTGCCAATCATGCAGCTGGCCATACTATGCAGACAGCACTCTCACCACCCTAAGCCTCCCCACCACCCCCCACCACCCTCAGCCTCCCCACCCCACCCCACCCCACCATCAGCCTCACTGACCACCCTCACCACCCCCCACCACCCTCAGCCTCCCCACCCCCCCACAACCTTCCAGCCTCCCAACACCCCCCACCACCCTCAGCATCACCACCACTAACCAGCCTCAGAGGAAAGTTCAGTGTCTGCATGCAGAGGGAGGAGACACTGAATGTTTGGATGCATTTTAGGCAGCCATGACCCAGGAAGGATCTCTAACAACCAAGGAGTGGCCAGTGAAGTTATCACTAGGCTGTAATGTAAACACTCAATTTTCTCTGAATAGACAGTGTTTACAGCAAAAGGCCTGACAGTAATGATTCTACTCACCAGAACAAATTCAATAAGCTGTAGTTGTTCTGGTGACTATATTGTCCCTTTAACTATATTCATTGTCAGCCAGTCCACACAAGTTTTGTTCCCATACATCCCTCTTAAGTTTCCATACTTAAGTAAGAGTATGTGAAAAGTAGTTAGGGTTGCCACCTTTCTTGGAAAAAACATACCGGCCTTACTAATTTGCACAATTAAATATGTATGGGTGACATCACATGATGTAAATCACAAGGAGTGACATAAGAGAAAATGCTGTAAAATCACCAAAAAACTACTTGGTTTGATTCTGCTGTATAGATGGATTCCTCCCAGTACCCCCATGTCTCCCAGTGCCCCCATGTGTCAATTACTCCAGGTCTCAGTGTTCCCATGTATCAGTGTCTCAGTTCCCCATGTCTCCCAGTGTCCCCTAGTGTCGTGTCCCCAGGTCTCCCAGTGACCCTATGTATCACATTGTCCCTATGTATTACAGTGTCTCAATGCCCCATGTCTCCCTGTGTCCTCCGGTATTCCCATGTGTCTATGTCCCCATGTATCCCAGGGTCCCCATGTCACTAGGACACTAGGAAGATGGGGAGACCTAGGGACATGAGACACCAGTGACACTGGGAGACTAGGGGACACTGGCTGGGACACATGGGGACACTAGGAAAATAGGGGACACTTGAAGACATGGGGACATAGACACCAGGGACACAGACACTAGAGACACTGGCTGGGGTACATTGAGACATGGGGGCACTAGGAGACATGGGGACACTGAGACACCAGGGCCACAGACACTAGGGACACTAGCTTGGACACATGGGGACATTGAGACACTTGAGGCACTGGGAGACATGGAGGCACTAGAAGACATGGGGACATGGGGACAGTGAGACACTGGCAGACTGGGGGCACTGGGAGACTAGGGGTCACTGGGAGACTAGGGGGCACTGAGACACCAGGGACATTGGCTGGGAGACATGGGGGCACTAAGAGACATGGGGACACTGTGTCCCCATGTGTCTGTGTCATAATGTCTCCCAATGTCCCTTAGTGTCTCAGTGTCTCTTAGTGCCTCAGTGTAGGTCTCCTTGCAGCCTTTCCCCCCCATCCCTTACTTCCCTGAGCTGTAGGCTGTCTGGACTCTCTGTAGCTGCACCCCTGCAGATCAGTGAGTATAGATAGGCAGGGAGGGATATGCTGGAATTTCATATCCCTGCCTGTCTCCACACACAGTGACCTCTACTGGCCAGTGCTGGTATTGCATAGTAATCTCTTGTTTATACTGAGAAAAATACCAGCATTTGTATTGCCAGTATCACTGTAATATTGGCACCAGCCAGGCAGCCTCAAATACTGGCTGTGCCAATAAAATAAAAGCCAGGTGGAATCCCTAAGAGTAGTGAGTGGGAAAAAAAATGTAAATTTTTTAAATTTTTTTTAAAATTTTTTTATTTAATCAATGGGCCTATTCCATGGGCCTGGGCCTGGGCCTGGAGCTGCCGCTCCATCAGCCCCTATGTTAATCCGGCCCTGTATACATCACACATGCAAACACATTCACATTACATACAAGTTGCAAAACTGAGGTTAGAGTAGCCAAGCTGGGTCTACAATTGAGTTGGAGAATTTCTTCCCTTATTCCCTTAGTTTTGCCATTAAAATGTCAGTTCACTACATTTGTCGCATATTAAATACACCCCATATTGTATATGGGAGGAAGGGGCTATATAGCTGGCACACTGGTGACTTGGTTCCAGGTAAGAATCAAAACCATTCTAAAACTGTGATCACTGGGCATTGCAACTATTACTACAAAGCATGGACAAAAGCAGTACAATTTTTGAAGCACGTCCTATGAGTTCTCTTCTGTTTGTGTCTTTATAGATATGTATGGTTGGGACCCTGCATTTAATGACTGTGTTCCTTCAGGGCCGTCTTTCCACATGGACACGCTGGGCAGTTGCCCGGGGGCCCCACCGCGATGCTCACAGGCCCAGGCAGACAGGGGAGATCCTTTGATGGATCCCCATGGAGAGCCAGCCCTGCTTTCTTGCCGTGGGCCCTCTCGGGCTGGTGAGGAGATCAAAGATGTTCCTCACCAGCTCAAATTTTCTTTCTTTCGGGGAGAGAGATGGTGGGAGGGTCCTGGGAGGCAGAGCACTCCACCCTTAAGCATGCTGTGTGGAGCTTTGCCGCGCATTGCAGAGTGTGAGGGGTACAGGGAGCAAATATTTATATAATAATAAAAATACATTCATAAAATCTTTATGTCCCATCCACCCTTCTGCTTACCTTTGGTGAATGAGGGGGGGGGGAGCACAGCCAGTGTGCTCCAAAGCCTGCAGCTCCTCTGGCTGCAGGCTTTCTTCATTCCTCCTGCGAGCAGAATGCTGTGTCGGAGTATTGCCATGACAACTTGTGGCAATTCTCCACACAGTATGCTCGAGGGAGGAGCGCTCTGCCTCCAGGTCCCTCCCACCGTCTCTCTCCCCGAACGAAGGACATTTGGACTGGCGAGGGAGATCTTGATCTCTTCACTGGCCCGAGAGGGCCCGCAGCAAGAATGCAGGGCCGGCTCTCCATAGGCCAACAGGGGAGATCAAAGGATCAGCAACAGTAGTCGGTGTGTGCATGTATTCAGCAGTCTGTGTGTGAATGTGTTCAGCAGTCTGTGACTGTATTCAGCAGTCTGTTTGCATGTATTGTATGTATGTACTGCATTTGTTGGAGGTACCAATAAATATAAGCTTCATTTTAATGATAATTTTAAATTTTCCTGTGAGCTGTTGTGTTGGCAGGGCCCCGGTGCACTGCTTTGCCCGGTAATGCTGTTAATGTGTTCATTGTACGTCTCTACAAATCTCCGGTCAAAAATGTACAACACATCCGGCTGCATTTAGAAATCTGGCTGTATTTATTAAAAAAAGGTCTGTACACAGTTGCTTACAAATCCAATATCTACATTTCTGCCATACCTTGGATTTGATAAACAGTCACTTAATGAAGTGAAACCTTGATAGCGGATTTGTAAACAACCATGTACAGACCTGTTTTAATAAATACAGCCAGATTGTTTTGCAATCTGATCTGTTAGTGTGTTCCTTCTTGGGGTATATACACTGAACAAAATTATAAACACTTTTGTTTTTGCCCCTTTTTTGCTTGAGCTGAACTCAAAGATCTAAGACTTTTTCTATGTACACAAAAGGCCTATTTCTCTCAAATATTGTTCACAAATCTGTCTAAATCTGTGTTAGTGAGGACTTCTCCTTTGCGGAGATAATCCATCCACCTCACAGGTGTGGCATATCAAGATGCTGATTAGACAACATGATTATTGCAAAGGTGTGCCTTAGGTTTGCCTAAATAAAAGGCCACTCTAAAATGTGCAGTTTTACTGTAATGTGGGAGTTCGGGGGTCTGAAAACCAGTCAGTATCTGGTGTGACCACCATTTACCTCATGCAGTGCAACACATTGGAGGTTTCTGTGAGATTGGATAGCTGAGGGTGGTGAAATTTGGGTATGGGGTATGCCGATGTCAAAGGTCAGCAGATGGTGGTCAGATAAAGGAAATGGAATATTGGAGAGATTAGAGGTGCTACAGAGATTGGGAAAGATGAGGTCAAGAGTGTTTCCTGCTGTATGAGTTGCTGAAGTAAACCACTGTGTGAGGCCGAAGGAGGCGGTTACAGAGAGCAGACAGGAGGCATCAGGGCAGTTGAGATTGTTATTTGGGATGTTAAAGTCCCCAAGTATAAGGGAAGGAGTGCTAGAGGAGAGAAAGTGGGATAGCCAGGAAGATACTCAGCAGTCTGTGTGTGTTTGTGTACTCAGCAGTCTGTGTGTACTCAGCAGTCTGTGTGTGTGTGTATTTAGCATTCTGTGTGTGTGTACTCAGCCGTCTGTGTGTGTGTATTTAGCAGTCTGTGTGTGTGTGTGTACTTAGCAGTCTGTGTGTGTGTGTAGTCAGCAGTCTGTGTGTGTGTATTTAGCAGTCTGTGTGTGTGTGCGTGTGTACTCAGCAGTCTGTGTGTGTATTTAGCAGTCTGTGTGTGTGTGTATTTAGCAGTCTGTGTGTACTCAGTGTGCGTGTGTACTCAGCAGTCTGTGTGTGTATTTAGCAGTCAGTCTGTGTGTGTATTCAGCAGTCTGCTAAATACAGACAGACTGCTAAATACACACACACACAGACAGACTGCCGAGCACACACACAAACTGCTTAATACACAGACATGTTAATTAATTCGGACAACTGTAGGAGTTGTTTTTTCTAAACCTAAACCTCAGTATTCAGGTTTAATTGTCATTTTGGCACTTTGAGGAAAAAAAAATTGGCATGTATTACGGTTTGGGCACTCGGGCTCAAAAAGGTTCGCCATCACTGGCCTAGGATGACTGGGGGGGTGTGTGGGCGATAGATGATGGCAATTCTTAAAGGAGTGGGCTTAAATATGCGGACAGTGTGAACTTCAAAGGAAGTAAAGAATAGGGCAGGGGCAGGGAGGATAGGGTGAAAGGTACATTGTGGGGAGAGAAGGATGCCTACACTGCTACCTTTACAGTTGAGTCTGGGAGTGTGGTAGAATTGTAGTCCACCGAAACATAAAGAAGCAGCGGTATCAGAGGTGGAAAGCCAGGTCTCAGTGAGTGCTAGCAGTGTGAGGGAATTAGAGATGAAGAGGTTGTGAGAGAATTGTTCTGATTTCCAGCAGGGAACGTTTAACTCAAACTGTAGCCCATGGAGTAGCGCAGCTAAGGGTAATGGGCCTTGACATTGCTAGGAGACAGGCGTAGGAGGGGTGTAATGTAGGGGACTGGCTAGCATAACTGGAGGAGAGGTTTGTGTTAGAGGAGTATTTTAGATCAGTGGCCATCTTAATTAATCCACATGTACCTGTTTTGTGGCAGATCTGTGAAGTGTCACTTTTGTCTTTCAGGTACAACTTGCTGTTAGAATACTGGAGGTGCTGATGGCAGGAGTCTGGAATGCTGTGCAGGTGAGAGGAGTTGAGTGGCTTCAAGGAGGTCTGGGAGATGCTGTGCGCCTGGCCGGACTTTCGTCTTCATCTCAGGGAGGTCGGCACGCTAGGTGGACAAGGCCGCCTCAGCATTGAGCCCAGCAAGCAGTCAGGTGGTCAGAGGGGCAGGAGCCCGACTGTGGAGCCTGGTAGGGCTGAAGCGGCAGCTGGCCCATGACAGCTGCACCACGAGGACAGCGTCGGAGTGCAGCCACATGGCCAGGATGGGTTCCCGTGAACACGACTGTGCGAGGACGTTCAGGCCATGAATTAGTGCACTCACTGCTGGTCGTTCAGGCCGCGAACAGGTAGCCAGTGAATCTACTGAATGAGTGGAAATTGGGGAATGGTCAGGGCGCGAACGGGAAACTACCAAACGTTTGGTCCGTGAGCAGGATTGTTACAAACGCACAGGCCGCGAACAAGATTCTGCCAAACATTCGGCCTGCGCATGTTATCTCCCGATTGGGATGCGGAAACTGACGAACGTTCAACCCACGACCTCAGGACAGCTGAATGTGCCTCTGGTTCAGATATAACGGTGAGCAAGTCTGTTAACAGGTGTAAGGCAGTTTCCTTGACGATGAATGGATGCAGATGCATGCAGGCCAACACGGTGGTGGGTCCTGCCCGGGCTTAATGTGGGATCCCACGTTAGGACAACGGAATGCAGGCGCAGCAGATTGGGCTGCTCTAGTGGAGGCTTTCAGGGGACTATGAGGATGGAAGGAAGTTGGCATGGCCAGGCGCAGAGGGGATAAGTCTCTTCCCGGGTCCCAGCGGGAGTGTAGGACGGCCAGGACTCTGTCGGAAGACCTGCCTAGAGTTTTTTCTCATTCCAGGTCACCAAGACGCTCGCCCATGGTCCGGGTGAGGCCTCGGGAAGTGGACCTATGGCTGGAGGCACCGTCGTGCCTGGACTTTGACGACATCAGGAGGGACACAGCCTCACGGCCTTCGGCAGCAAGAGGTTCGGACGGTGAGTTGTCTTCTGCTAAACCTTCCAGGGACCTTTTAGAGGATCTACGTTTTTTTCTGGACTCGATGCCGCAGTTCGGGGGGAAGTTTACCTTTGGGCAGGTTTGGGCTACTAGGCAGGATAGAGGTCAGAACTAGTTGGTGACATCTCAGACACAGTTAGGCAGAATGTCCAAGTTTATTTTGCGGGGCTGTTGGAGGTTCAGCTTAAACCGGAGGTGTGGGCGAGGATATGGAGATTTTTTCGCTTCCTCCTCTGCATGAATACATAGAATTGACGGAGGTGGATGGGAAATATGCCAGGAAGGAGGAAGGAGGGAAAAGGCCCCGCTATTGGCAAATACCCCAAACTTTCGGGAATTGGTTGAGAGCTTGTGGTACTCTGGGGAGCATTGTGGGGGAGTAATCCCCTGAACGGTGCTCGTAGTTGTTCTGTGTCTTGGATGGGGATCTGGGAGGTGAACTGCACCTACAGGGGCTTGGCATGGTGGCGGTATGCCGAACTGTTTCGGCACAGGATTTTGATCAATCCGGGAAACGTGAGTGTACCGGGGTGGAGGCGTGCATTGGTACAACCACTGCTCCAAGATGGGTAAGTCGGGAGAGATGTCGGGTGCTCCGAGGGCGCCCTTGCCACTGGAGTGATCACCGGTGAAGGTCCGCGCGATGTTGCCATGGCTAAGCAGCTATGGTAACCAGGAGGACACTGTGCTGTTGCAAGGCGGGTTTACGACGGGGTTGTGATTCCGTTCCGGCAAGGGGAAGGGGTTTGCAGTCTATGGAATCTGAAGTCTGTGGGGGGTTTTCTGGAGGTGGTGCGGGATAAATGGTTAAAAGAGGTACAGTTATGGAGGACGGCGAGGCCATTCAAGGAGCCCCTGATGAGCGAATTGCAGGTATCACCGGTGAGGGGTCATGCCTAGTGGGAGCCGGGTGAGTACGAGTTTATTCCTCATTTATCGTATCCATATGGATCTTCGAGAATGATGATATTGACAGGGCTCTAGGCTCAGCGTTGTATGGATCATTCGTCCAAGTGGTTGAGTTGGTTCGGTGTGCGGGCAAGGGGGCATCCGCTACGGCGGATGTTGAAGCGGCGTTTTGATTACTGCCCATTTACCCCGACTGTCATCATTTACTGGGCTGTTCTTTTGAGGGGGAGTATTTCTTCAATCGGTGTTGCTGAGGGGTTGTTCCATATCATGTGCGTACTTCGAAAAGTTCAGTACTTTTCTGGAGTGGGGGTCAAATAATAGATTCGTGGTCCAATACCTAGATGATTTCCTCGATGATGTCAGGCCGGCGGGTTTGGTGGTGTGCCAGATTACCGGTGGTGTGCCGGAATACCGTTGACAGGCGACAGGAAAGTGGGGCCGACAAATTGCTTGTCCTTCCTGGGCTTGGAGATAGATTCGGGCCGGAGGGACTGTCGGTTGCTGGAGAACGATTTACGGGCAATGCAGCAGGCGGTGGCGAAGGTCCGGGAAGCTAAGAAGGTTACTTTGGGGGAGTGTCAGTCATTGGTGGGCCGGCTCAATTTCAAATGCTGGGGGAGCCCGTTGGGGAGGGTGTGGCAGGTCTTCCTAAGGGACTTCATGGGCATTTATAGGCATGTCTTTTGACATGAGCCAGTTGCTTCCTCACCAGATCTGGAATTGCTTACGAGTGGATCTGGCAGCATTGGGTTTGGGGTTTATTTCGCAGGGCACTGGTGGGCCGAGCCCTAGCCCTAGCCGAATGAGTGGAAGGCCAGCCCGCTCATACGCAACCTGGTATTTCTGGAACTCTTTCCTTTAGTGGTGGCGCTGGCATTGAGGGGACAACAAATGAGGGACAGGAAGGCTATCTTTGTACCAACAACAGGTCGGTGGTTGAGACTGTTAATGGTTTCTCTGCTCCTTCTATCCCTGTTATTCAGCTCCTTTGCGGCCTTGTTCTCTCTTGCATGAAATTTTATGTTGTGTGCAGGGCACGTCACATGCTGCTCCCTCGTTTTCATTGGGAACGGTTCAGGCAGCGGCCCTGGGAGTGCAGAAGGTGCACTTGCAGAAAGTGGCAGTTCGGGACCTCTTGCTTGGCGAACTCATAAAGGGGGTCGTTGGCGACGTCCAAATGGGCGGCCTACGTCAAGGTTTGGCACAAATATGACGCCACAATAGTGTGTGCAAGTGGACAAGACTCAGCCGGGGCTTGGTTCAACACTTTGTTATGGTTTCTTTCTAGGTTATTGGCGACATGGGCGTCTCCATCAGCGGTAGGGCACAACACAGGACAGCGTTGGCTTTTCATTTATTAATACTTAATGGATGGGAGGACTTAACCAAGCATTTCCTAGTGTGTCCGGCTATTAAAGGGTTTCAGACAAGCAGGTCATCGTGGGATTCGCGCAGGCCGGTATCCTTCGAAATTCTGCGAGGCTTACTTGGCGTGCTGCTGAAGGTTTGTTTTTCGGAATGCGAGGTTGTGCTGTTTTCCGTGGTGTTTAGTTGGACGCCTTTGCGGTTTGTTGAGGTAAGTGAGTTGGTGGGCAGCAACTGCCGGGATGGAGGTGGGTTACAGTATGCGGCCGTGGAACTGTGGCAGAATTGGTGCGACATCTCCACCGTTCCAAAACCGACATATTCGGGTAGCGCAGCACTTACGCTGTTTTCGGTGCCAAATATGAGCATGTCCAGTGGCATGTACAGTGGCGTTTCAGGCGTTTAGTGCTGGGAGAGGAGGTTCATTTTTATTGCAAGATGATGGTTCTTCGGTGTCCACAGTTCAGTTCCTTGGAGTTTTTCGATTGGCCTTGGGGCATGTGGGCCTGGGTTCCGTTACAGTTCGGCACACACTCTTGCAGGATTGGGGCTGCAATGGAGGCCGCTCGGTTGGGTTGGGGGGTGAACGGTCAAGAAGAAGGTGGGAATCGGTTTAAGTCTGGTTGAAATGGTGATCATTGTTCTATGTGGATAACATGTTTTTCTTCTGCAGGTTGGATTGCATGGGTGATGGGACACTCATATGTGTTCTGGGCACAAAGGAGAGCTGCAGTTCGTCGTCAAGGCATATAGCTGGGCTTCCCGCGCTCAATGGTGCAGATGGAGTGATTTGATAATAGGGGTTGCAGTTGGCATGGTGCATGCTTAAAGCTATTCCAAAGGCTTAGAGTGGGTAAAGTACCTAACATTGTTTTGTTTAATGCTGGGGGGGGGGAAATG